ATTATCGGCAATTTTATGTATATCAGAGGATGAAGTTGTTATTGAGTTATTATCTGTCACAAACTAAACCCCCCAAAAGTGAAATAATGTAAAAAATATCGATGCACCTGAAGATTAGCCAGCAGTTTATTTTGCCTTAAGATTAACAACTTAACGGTAACTTAATCAATCTTAACATAATCTAACTTCACCCTTCCAGGTAACGTTAGGGATGATTGATCATCAGGTGAAACAAGTTTGGGACTAATATTCAGGTTATTAAAAATGAATGACTGGTAATAGTATATGTAGGATCGTGTTATATTAATATGGGTGATTTCATGCACTCCAATTATGGTATATAAATGTGCTAGTTGGTTAATATCACCGTGCATTTGTTATTGACCTAGAATAAAGACAAACGAGTTCTCTCACTATGTTGGTACAACCGTTATGTATGCCTAACATTGTCACCAGCGCGAGACCTTAAGCTAATGGTGTTGAAGGCCGAAAATTTTTCATTGCATAAATTTGTTAATGTTTGAATAAAGTGTGAAGAAATAGGAGGAAGGCTGACAAGTGGCCAGTTTATCTTCAAAAGCCATTTTTTTTAATAAAACAATATTTTACCGATTATAAACTAGTATACCATACGTTATTACTGTTAGTAATGTAAAACTGTAGATACTCATTACTGGTATTAAGGCCTTAAATGTATGGCGCACTCTTGAAGGCGACAAAGTGATATTATACTTGGTGCACGATTTCCTTGTTGATTATTGCAAGGTACAGTCACTAAACAAAGACGGTTCAATTTTGCAGTTTATTCTGTGTTGTATCCACACTGTCCCTCACGGGCCCTCAGGCCTTCGAGACCCAGTTTCACTTTTTGATCTGAGTTGCTTCAAATAGTTTTAGCCACTCTGGAGCCTATTTCCCAAGCCATTGTTGTTATTATGCTGGAAACATGTTGATCTGGGATTATGCCATTCTTCTGTTCGATTCCAGGGCGCTCCTAGTCCACCCAGCTGTAAATGAATGCTGTCGTATGCAGTACCTTGTGTACCAAAGGCTTGTGTCCACGCTGTCTCTGGGCAGTCATACCTATGGGACACGCTCACAGTATCTCCGGACTGTTGTCACAGTAGTAGAAAATGTAGAAGGACGTCTCTGGTCTTGTTACACAAAATGTGAAGGAATGAGGTGAGATGTTAGGGTTAAGCTAGCCCATGTCTCCTTTATGAAGAAAACTAAAGCAAACGTATCCCGCGCTATGGGGCAGAGGGGTCCTTCAGTTTCTTAGGCGAGTGAGTTATTTGGTAAAATATAGGCAAGACTGCACATGGATTACTGCCTCTGCCAGCCGGTGTTATGCTTTAGATATTCTACAAAATATTCTCATACTAATGAATAAATTTATTTACTAAGGAGTAAAATATATTCTGTTACAAGGACAACGGTTACTTCATAACAATGGGATCGTACACAGCCCAATAATTTCTTCCAGTCACGTGTCACAACATAAATCAAGAGTTCACTGCTATATTTATAAATTATATATTCATGCGTGGTTATATTCAGACTCACAGATACTCACAGATGATCTTCTGGAAGAGGCTCACGCCTGTGACTCCAGCTCAATAGCCTCTTCTCTACTCAGACGGTGGCTGCGTGTGGCGGATATTTGTGCCCTATAATTATATACTTGTTCTTGATTTTTCCAGTATTTATCTGATTTTGATTCAAACTTTTCCACCGTCTCCACATTCACTACCCACTCAGGTAAACTATTCCAGTTGTTGACAATCCGACTCGGGAACGAATGTCTTCTGAGATTTAGCCTCGCTCTTGTTTTGTAGATCTTCTTTGAGTTCCCCCGGGTAGTGTCAGCCTCCCTCATCTGGAACATTCCTGCTGTACATGCCTGGTCATATATGCCACACACTATCTTGTATGTTTCCACTTGGTCCCCACGAGATCTTCTTTACGCCAGTGTCGGTAAGTGTAATTTCCTTAGTCTTTCCTCATAAGATAAATCCTTGATCTGTGGTACTAATTTGGTAGCCCTCCTCTGTACATTCTCTACTGCTTCAATATCCTTAATGAGATATGGGCACCAAATTTGATTAGCATACTCAAGGTGAGGCCTAACCAGAGCAGTGTACAGAGCCTTGAATATAGGTGCATCCAGATGAACAAAAGTTCTTCTAATAATGCCCACTATTTTATTAGCCTTGTTGATTTTCTCAGCTAGATGGTCAGAGAACGTCAGCTTATCATCGATGACTACCCCTATATCCTTCTCTCCAGTGGTCTTCTTGATCGTGGTGTACATGTGATATCGCTGGTGAGCAACTTTTGTTCTTCCTATCCTCATGTATTTCCTTTTTTCTGGGTGAAATTTCAGCATCCACTTCTCAGTCCAACCCCTGATCCCATCCAGGTCCTCCTGCAGCATGTCACAATCCTCATCTCGTTCTATTTTCCTAAAAATCTTTGTATCATCCGCATATAGATATACCTCACTGTCGTGTTTAATTACCTCAGGCAGGTCATTGATAAAAAGGACAAACAGCAGGGGGCCGAGGACAGAACCCTGAGGGACCCCACTAGTGACCTCTCTCCAGTCAGATACTTCTCCATTTACCACAACCCTCTGTTTTCTCTTAGTTAAAAAAAATCCTTACCCAATCAAGATATTTTCCATCAATGCGATAACTAGATACTTTTTCTAATAGTCTTTTTTGGGGTACTCTATCAAAAGCCTTCATGAAGTCACAATGCACTATGTCCACAGCCTGACTGTCATCGATAATTTCCGTCCACCTGTCTAGTACCCTAATCAACTGTAGGACTGTTGACCTGCCGGAAATGAAGCCAAACTGTTTATTACTAAACAATCCATATTTTTTCATATGGGATATCATCTCTTCCCGTAATATTGACTCCATTAATTTGCAGATTACACTAGTAAGACTGACTGGCCTGTAGTTTCCTGGTTCACTTTTACTTCCCTTCTTATAGATAGCTGTGATATATGCATTACGCCAGTCCTCAGGTATATTTCCTTCTTGAAAAGAGTTTTCAAACAAGATCCTCAGAGGCTGAAGTAATTCCTCCATCATCTTCTTAATGACTCTTGGATGTAACCCATCTGGACCAGGAGACTTTTGTCTTTTAAATTTTTGAATCTCCTTTCTTATTTTGCCCTCGGTTATCTCCAGGTGTTGAAGAGCTGGCACGTCTTTGTTGTTGGCTGTTGGTATCCCCCTATCTGGTTCCTTGAGAAAAACTCGTGAGAATTGCTCTGAGAGTACATCTGCCCTTTCTTGATCATTCACAGTCCTCTGTAATTTTTCCTCATCCTTGTAAAGATCTGCAAGTCTAGCTTTTGTTCTTGTTTTTGTCTGTGCATACTTCCAGAACACTTTTGGATTTGCCTTAACATTTTTCGTTATCTCTTGTTCTTTGCGTTTCAAAATGTTTCTAGTTTCCAATCTGACCTGATTATTTAATCTCCTGTATTCCTTTTCAGTTTCCAGATACATCTCCCTTGTGCATGCTCTTTCATTGAACTTCGTTTTCATTATTTTCAGTCTCTTCATGTGATATATTAAAATGCGATATATTCATATGTACTATATTCATACAATTAATTTACATCTTTCGAAGAACACCTCATGTGTAATCGTAGTTCGGTGGAATATATTAAATTAAGATAATAATTTTTAACAAATTCGTCTATAGCGGTCGACAGAAGCTTGCCCCTCCCCCTTTGAGTTAATGAAGGTTGTTTTATCAGTCTGTTATCCCTCGTTTAAATGAACAGTGAATAATTAATAATGAATCATTATGGTTTCAGTAATGTGACAGGTCACTGAGGTTATTAGTTGAGGCATATCATGTAATCCACCTCGTTACTGCTCTTCTGCCAATTCATGCAGTGATGCCGTCGTTCAGTTCATTTCGATGTAATAGAGGTAGCTGATTCATCGTGTTTGTAGTGGTTTCGTTTTATCTTTAAACTCTTCTACTTCTTTTATCCGTTCTCCTCCCTGTATGTCACAAAATAGTTTAAGGAGAGTTTGGGTGGTTGGTTGTTTTTGTGTTCAGCAGGATACAGACTTCACCTGTTCTTGGCTCTAATGTGTAGAACATGTAACTCCCCACTTAGAGAAACACAATATCCTTGAGAAAGAAGCCAACTATACCACAGTATTCCTCCCCAGTCCTGTGCTCAGGTGGATGAGACAGCCCGTGAGTAACGGCACAAATAAAATAAAATGATGGGTGGTGGTAGGGGAGGATGGGTTAACCACGCACAGCCAGAGGAGGAAGTGTTAAGTGCTTAAGGACGCTCTTTGTACTTTCTCTAGACTGGTTGTTTCGACGTGCCAAAACTCGCTTGTACTCCGGTGCTGCTCCTGAGAATGTTTAAGAGGGAAGGATTGTCGACAGTAGTCATAGAGTGTAAGCGACTTTGTGTACAAAGTTTTTTGTTGTTTAGTTTCCAACTGGAGTGATTAATATAGCTTGAAATTCAAAAGAATCATGTATTTTATCGTAGTTATTTTTTATAGTTGAAAATGCGTCTGGCAAAGTGTTTTGAATGGTACTGAAAATTTAAAGCCCATCCTCAGAAAACAGCACCCTCAACATAATTATGCTTTTATTGTCGGTAAATTATAGGTGCAACATCACCTCCTCTTTGATCACCCCCTGCTGCGTCCGCCACCCCTGGCAGTGTATCATCTAGGATGAGAATATTTTTTTCTTCTGATTTTAAAAGATTTTTAACTCCTGCATGTTTCAGAGGCAACGGGAGCACAGCACTCCACTTCCCTCCATGTAAGCTCATGATGGACGCCGCCTCCTGTAGAGTTATGAGTCAGTGTAAAATAGTATCTATTACTTTTAAACGTCTGGACAACGTCTTGTCGTTATCTTCTGCCCCTGACTTGTTGGTCACTTGGGCTTCTTTTTATTATTGTAGTGTTTGGGTGAAGGAAATGGAAAGATTCTTCAAATAAGTACTTTTATTTTGCTAGTACATGGGCTCATAAAACACGTAATTGAGGGCTAGATATCTGGATGATTGTGTGGCAATGATTCCTTTGCTTGTCACATGTTACGCTGCCGGAACTATACTGAGGCAGGTGACGCCGTGCATCCTTATCCACGACACACACACACACACACACACACACATATATGTCTGCACTCTGGAGTCAAGACTGCTTGTAACTTAAGACATAATCCTTCGTAGATAAAGTGTTAGGTGAGGGGTTGTGTGGACTTGACCCGTGTTACGCCTGGTTACCCACACGTGTACTGACTTGACTTGGCGTGGGTTAATTTGGTTTATTGGCTTAAGGTGTTAGTATTAAGGTGAAGTAGGTTAATCTGGTTACTTAATATTAAGCCAGACTGACTTTAGTATGGTTTATACGTGTGGGAAGGTTGTAGGGAGATTGGGAGTCAAAATGGTCTTGGGAGCTGACACAAAATGGTAGTGGAAAATTGGTGGTTTCTTATGTTATCTTACTGTGTGGCTCAGTCTGTGTGGTTGTGTTGTGGTAATGACCTTGGTGGTGTTGTGGTGTCTCGATATTGGTGGTGGTGGAGGTGTTGTTTCCTACAAGGGCTGGTGATGCATTCTCAGTGTCCCGTCAAGGTTGATGTTCCAGCAAAGTTGGTTTCCGGTCATAACTGATGTCCAAACATCATTGGCCCTTTAGACCTCCAGTAATATGTTTTTTTTTAATTCAGGTGAACAACTCAGTGTTTGGGTTCCAGCTGTGTGGTTTAAGTGACCTGTCTCGTAAAATAAACTGGATTAACTAAAACGACGCACTGAAAGATTCAGACACGAAGAGAAAGACGAAAATAAATAGTAGTTTATATTAATACATTTGTTGTTTTATTTTAGTTTTATGAAATGTTTTGATTTTTTTAGTTATGGGAGTGTATTATGTGGCCGGCTCACTAGACTCACATTATTTATGTTGTTATAACAGTGGGAACTTTGGTGGTTTCTGGATCATTTGTTGTTTCGACATATGTAGTGTGTGTGTGTGTGTGTGTGTGTGTGTCCTGTGTGTACACCACGAGCGTCCTAGTCATGTTATGTTATTTAAACACGTCACACACACACACACACATATACAGAGTCCTAGAAAATGACTTCGTGGGTACGGGAGGCGGAGGTGCTTGTGGGGAGGTGCAAGGAGGAGAGTGGGGGAGCAGGCTGGCAACCCCTCCACCCTCCCTCAGCAAGCGTCCTCGTACGCCCCTCCCTCACATCAGCTGGGGACCTCTTCCCCCCTTGTTGACCAACGCTGTTACTCAAAGGTTCATTCCGTAAAATTCTTCCCTTAACTGGAGATGTGAGAACGCATCCAACTGGCTCAGATAAGCTATGGCACAAGTATGGTGGTCAAATTGGAGTGTAAATTGTACTGAGACTATAGCAATACTTGACTGCGTTCTCTCTCTCTCCTGAGTTTGGGCGAGCAATATGTCACAGGATTTATTTATTTATTTTGAAAATCCGAATACACAACAGTCATTTTACAGGTCCACTGAGACGTACGCGCCATCACTTCTCCTTAAGAACACAAGTGTCACGCCCAACAACCATCACTGCCTGGAGATTAAGGAATAAATCAACATCTACTTAATATAATTTTTAATTGCTATATTATTGTTTCGTCTGAAGCACAAACTAGTTAAGCATTTGTTTGTTTGGCACGTAGTCCAAAGCTACTGTCTTTTGTTCCCTCGTGGTGTCACCAGCTAGGCCACACGTCACCACGCTGCTACTGACGTCACCAGCTGTCTGTGACGTCAATAACAGACAGTGACGTTACCAGGTTGACCTTGACGTAACCAGACGGGTATTGTGACGTATTAGGCAGGCTGTGACGTCACCAAGTTGGATGTGACGTCACTACCCGGCCATGACGTCATCAGGGAGTCAGCTTGCTCACTTCCGCCTGAGAAAGAAAAGAACATCGGTGGTACTTAGTTTTCCATCTCAGCGAGAGAGACCCAACATTATCTGTAAGTAGTGTGACCCAAAATGACCCAGAATATACCATTGTGAATCAGTATGTATTATGAGCCAGCATGACAATTATAACCCCAGGATGACTCAGTATGACCCATGTAACCGAGCATAACCCAATATGACCCAACATGACCTACCTGAAGCAGGAGATGGGGTTGAAGTAGCATTGGTGGTAACGGATCTGCCTCTTGATGGTGGGCAGTTCACCGGGAAGGCCAGAGAGTGGCACGAACATCCTCTTCCTCTTAACCTCTTCTTCTCCCTGCTGCTGTTGTTGTTGTTGTTGTTGTTGTTGTTGCTGCTGCTGCTGCTGCTGCTGTTGTTCCTCTATCAGGACTTTCTTGAGGGAAGGTAGTTCCTGCCACGAGTCCTGCAGTTCCGACGCCACCCGAGCCAGAATCAGGTCTTTCAACGCGGCTATTTCCTGAGGGAGAAAAACATCCATTGTAATAATGTGTTGCGGTGACAGGGCCGAGGAGTCTCTTGCATTATTGACTCTGGTATACTACTCCTCCTCCTCCTCCTCCTCCTCCGATGATTATATTTTGTATCCTGTTTGTAGTTAAGAAATGATGCGAATTTGAATAGTTAGAACGAATATATTAATATCACGAACTTGCTGATACTGTGACTTATCTTTGATGTAAGGAACAACTTACAAGAAATGATCCCATGTGTTTAGACCCACAAGTTTATTGTTAACAATATGCTTTTTGCGTTTCGATACAACAAAGTCAAGGACTTGAGAATACACAAAATAAGAAAATAAAGTGATCACAAAAAGTGACAGCTCGTATATCCGTAAGTTGTAACATTTATCTCGCTCTTAGGGGTGGCCTCCTTCCTTACCTCTGCCCCCAGTAATCTGCTCTAGATGAAATACATGTGGGTTAGAAATACCGGCATTCAAAACCTCCCGAGTATACTTTCGGGAGAGAACTGCTCTCTTATACCCGGGTGGGGCAGAGTGTGTGGGGAAGAGTTCTTTCCCTATACAGTAATACGCTCCCTGCCAAGTCTCCTGCCTGGGGCCATAATATATTCAGTTACTTACACAAAGCGTCCCCTACCTGTGTACACACGATGAAAAAAGTATCTTACCACTTTTTGTGTGAAACAATATAACACCACGGACTAGTCATATTAGTCATTTTGAAATTCATCGGACCCATCCAGGAGGATACATTTTATACCGTGTGTACACCTGTGATATAATTCCAATTTCAAGTGTACAATACCCATACTGCCTCCTATACACGGTATATGTATACAGTATATATAATATAATAATAATAATAATAAACGGTTTAATAATAGAGTTGCAGCCGGTGGCTGAAAATATACAGTACAAACTTACATTTGATTTAGACAAAATGATATGCGTTGAATACATTTACAGGGCTGTACAGTACATAAATCAGGAGTTGTTTATTATTTTAACAATAGATGGGATGGCGCTATTCTTATATCTATCGGTGTGGGCTCTTATGAGCAGAATTTTGTTGTAGTAGCGGACAGCGCGAGGTGGGTGGGGGACTGCCGATGGCAGGAGGTGGCGATGACGAGGATGGTGCAATAGTCCACTGCCAAACCTTGCTAGTGCTTGGTGGTGGAGGTCACTGAGGGATGGCATTTCCAGGGTGGAGAGAGCGTTGATGTAGCCGGAGTAGTCTGGGCCGAGCATGATTCTGCAGGCCCTTTGTTGTACCTTCTCTAGCCGACGTTGTTGGGTGGAGTTGAGGGAAGACGACCAGGCTGGTGACGCATACGTTAGTTTGGGGAGAATAAAGGCGTTGTAGATAGTCTTCAGCTCTGGCGTGGGTGTCCCAAGTGACCTAAGTCGTCGTAGCATGGAGAGTCGGTACGAAGCTGCCTTGATTGTGTTGTTTACGTGAGCCTTCTAGTCCAGTTTGTGGTTTATGGTAACACCCAGGAGTTTGGCAGACTGCACTAACTGGAGAGGATGGGCACCCACTGTGACTGCTGGAGCTTGCACTGGAGTGGTGGCGGTATTGATGTGCATGACTACGGTTTTGGTGTGGTTGTTGGTGACCTTGTTCTCCAGTCCATGCCTGTAGCCTGTCCAGGGTGCCTTGTAGCGATGAGTAGTCTGGTGCTGTGTTGTCCACTGTAACCCCCACAGTGCAGTCATCTCCGTACTTCCAGATGTGAGAAGTGTCCGATAGAGCGTCGTTGATCAGGATGAGGAAGCACAGTGGTCCCATCTTGGTCTCCTGGGGAACACCGCAGGTGAGGTGTTGAAATGTGGAGACAGAACCCTGATACCTCACTGCCTGACGACGCCCACTCAAGAAATCAGTGAGCCATGAGACCAGGTTGGTGGGCAGCCCTAGTGCAATGGCCTTGTTGATAACAGTGCAGTGATCAACAAGGTCAAAAGCCTTCCTGAAGTCAACAAGGGCAACGGCCATTGATGTCTTACGTTTCTGCAGGTTTTTGTGCAGGAAATCCAGAAAACTAACAAAGCAGTGTGATGTAGAGGAGGTCCTCATATTGCCAAATTGCTGTGGATCAATTGACTGATAGATTCTAGCACATGCCCACTCAAAAACAAAGTCTTCACAGAGTAGACTGGGTATGGGGGTAATGGCAACTGGCCTGAGGTCGTTAGGGGACTGTGGGGTGGTGACCTTGGGGATAGGGGTGACAAATGCGGTTTTCCATTCATTAGGGCATTTGCTTTGTCTGAGGGATGCATAAATAATAGAACAGAGGGGGGTGGCAAGTTCGACTGCAAACTCCTTGTATATTTTGATTGGGAGGTCAATTGGGGTCGTGGAGCGTTTGGATTTAACTTTCAGGAGTTTGTTGGCAATTTCAAATGGTTGAACACTGAGAGGGGGGGAGGGGGAAGGCTAAGTAAGCCGGGAGGAGAATGAGGTCAAGACTGGGTAAGGTATGACATATGGTAGTAAAGTGGTTATTAATTATCTCAGCTGCCTCCTCACTAGGTAAATGTGAGATGAAAGGGAGTGTGGGAGACTGACGGTTAAGACCACAGCGATCTTTTACCTTGGAGTACCACTGACCGATGCCGACTTCCTTGAGGCCGTGCACTTTCCTGGGATAATAAGACTTCTTGGCTGACTTGACTTCCCTGATGACCTGGTTACGTAGACCTATGTGTCTATAATATGAGCCCGTCTGACAGCAACACTGAAATAGCACTGTTTAACGCAGTAACTGATTTTATTATTATGGTTGAATTATTGGTCAAGGCTAGACTGTAGAGACTTTAAGGCTTTCAAAATAGATTGAACAACTTACATGAAAAGGAACACACAGACACACACACAAAATACGATGTGGAAGTTGCGAGAATTTAGTATGAAATCTCCATTGAGTCGAAACGTTGATTGTCAACATTGAAGACTACGAATTTAAAACTTTTAATGAAGAAGTTTTTATCGTAACATAAGCTAGCCTAATTTTTCCTAATTTTAACGCAAGTTAAATAATGTAACTCAATCTATCCTCTTCCATCCTTACTTAAGATGGTTAGGTTGAGTGAGTTGTCTCCTGTCGACTGGTGTTCAGCAGCGTGGGAGGGAGGGGAGTGAGTCAGCGGAGAAGCGGAACCTCCTAGTTGGAAGTCACTGTTTTACGTTGACTTAAATAGTTAAATCGTCAACTTCACAATATTAAATTCGTGTTGCCGATGTTAGTACCACATATAGTAAATATTCTTTTGCGCCTCATCTATTTAACTCATATAATTTTGAAAATCTAAATACAGTACAATTAAACAGTAGAAACAATGGTCCTATCATTATTAATTTTTATTTGACTGTACTGCCATATTTGTGTTAAGGTCTCAGATATGAATGACTATTACCGTAACTGAACAGCCGAGAACTACAGTGAGTAAGTAGAGATGTTCAGGTGAAGCGGCGTAGAAGACGATTAATGAATGTTGCACCGAGTGGCTGTGAGTCCTTCCCTGCGTCACTAAGTTCGGCAGTTGGGCTACAAGTTGGGCAGCGCCAATCTAGAGGAAGTCTCACTAATTACATCCCACTTGGTTATATCATTTTGTCTCCAACATTATTGGAAATTCCGTAGTTGTGGGTAGGTGGTGGCGTGGGATAATGTGGTGGTGGTGTGTAGAGGTGGTGGCTTCGTGTGGTGGTGGTGTTATGCGATGCTAATGATGGCGTTATGTGGCGGGGAGTGTGTGTGTGTGTTATGGTGATTAGTAGTAATCTATGTGCGTGGTGGTGATGATGCTTGTGATAGTCGTGGTGTTCTTGTATGGTGGTGTTGTGTGGCGGCTGTGGTGTATATTTAACGGTGGTGGAGATCATAACGCGGTAATGATGGTTATGGTGGTGTTAATGGTGACATGGTGGTAGTGGTTATGGGAGGTGTCAGTGTGTATGGTATTATGTGGTGGTAGTAATGCTGGTGTATGGTAAGAGTGATTGGTGTTTATTCCTTGTGTTTGTTCTGGTAATGATTTTTGTTGTGATGGTATGGCCGGGAATGTGGTAGTGGCGTGGTTGTGTTAGTGGTATGGTCTTGGGAATGAGTAACCACCACCGCGGCATCTTTTGTTTAGCAGACAATAGTGGTAAACCTGACACTAAGCAACACACCTAACTGACTGGTGTATAAGGGTGGTATAAATACTCCTTGGTAGATAATGTAGTTGAGGTGGTAGACGGGTCGATGGTAGGTACACAAAAGAGTAGATATAGCTGAAGATAACGAGATAATTCAGGTGTTTAATGCCGTTAATGAAGACTTGTTTGGGGGTAGGGAGGTGTACGTGAAGGTGGCGTCCTCAGTTGCCATTATACATAATAATGAAGTAAATGGGTACCTGGACAAGGGAGGATAAAGAGAGGGGCCCTTAAGATAATATGTAAATAAGTGAAGCGAAACACATCGCCTGCGGGACTACAAAATGTTGCCAAGTATGTGTGTGTGTGTATGTGTACTGTGTATATGTGTGTTATGTGTGTGTGTGTGTGTACTGTGTATATGTGTGTGTGTGTGTGTGTGTGTGTGTGTGTGTGTGTGTGTGTGTGTGCTGTGTATATGTGTGTTGTGTGTGTGTGTGTGTATGTACGGTGTATATGTGTGTGTGTGTGTGTGTGTGTGTGTGTGTGTGTGTGTGTGTGTGTGTATATGTGTGTGTGTGTGTGTGTGTGTGTGTGTGTGTGTGTGTGTGTGTGTGTATATGTGTGTGTGTGTGTGTGTGTGTGTGTGTGTGTGTGTGTATGTGTGTGTGTGTGTGTGTGTGTACTGTGTATATGTGTGTTGTGTATGTGTGTGTGTGTGTGTGTGTGTGTGTGTGTGTGTACTGTGTATATGTGTGTGTGTGTGTGTGTGTGTGTGTGTGTGTGTGTGTGTGTGTGTGTGTGTGTGTGTGTGTGTGTGTGTATGTGTATGTGTGTGTGT